TGTTAATGCTGATTTATTTATTTTTATCTTCCATACAGTGTCCAAAGTAAATAAATAATGATGATTGTGGATATTATGTGACTGTGAACACCAAAATTTTGATTTAAAATTTTTTTAATTTCAAAATAAAAAATCTGAATTTTAATATTACAAAAAGCGGATAGAAACAAAGGGTTTTTTTTAAAAAAAAAAAACAAAAATTTGTCTTAATAAAATAGGAAAAATTCAGAATTAATTCTCAAAAGGAAAATGAAATATTAAAAATAATTAAACTCTTAAACCAATGTTACTTTATACATAAAAAGAGAAATTTTCAGATTTTTGGCATTTTATGAAAACCCTAACAATAAAAGGGGAGAGGAACCATGAAAGAGGGGTTCAAGAATTTTAAGGGGAGAAAGAAAAATCAAAAGCTTAGACTCACGGAAGCATTGAGGAAGACTAGTTAACAGCAAAGGTATGGGCTATCCTTTCCTTATTCCACGTTGATTTTTTTAGCTGTGTTAACTTGCAGTATTTCGCTCATTCATAGATGCACATCACTATCTAACTTGAATAGTGCCTAAGATCTGGTAGTGGACTTCATTGAACCAAGGCTTTTGTAATATATCATTTTACAACGTTATGCCCATTTTTGCTAAAACTAATAGGTGGTGACCATTTGCTGCTTTGCTTTCAGAATGAAATAAATTCAAGTGTGTTCCGTTAGCAACCATATATTCCCTTTAACTGGTGTTTTAGCCGTTAGAAATGATTTTATAGCATATAATTTCTATTCGCCCCAAACGGTTACGTAAATACTGCAGTATTTGTTTTTCCTTATTACTTTCTTAGGTCTCATCCAATTAACAAATTTTAGTTTTTTCATTTAAGACCATAAACTTTATTCTTTGTAAAATACAAATAATAATATAGGATAAATAGGACAGAATTAGAAGTCTTGCTGTAATTTATGTAAAATTTTACTAGTTTTAGTTTATTATTCATATATCTTGTTGTTAATTAATGTGCTTATTTTTATTATTATTGTTCTTTTTTGGGTTAATTTATTGTTTGCGTCTTAATCTTTATTTATGATATCTAGCATTATTATTCTTTATTATATTGTATAATTTTAAATATTTGATGATAAACTAATTGCATTTTCAATAAATGTTAAATAAATAAATAATAATACAATTGCATCAATTTATGATACTAACGTATAGCTTCTCTATCGTAATGTATTATAAATTGATAAAGTCTATGTGTACCTACGTTATTGAAGCTTTAGGCAATATTAATTTATCATATTTTATCTTTAATTAATTATAAAATTATTTTAATAATCAATTAAAATACATTCCCTATAATCACTATTTTACTAATCAATTAATTTAAATAGAAATTATTTTATTAACGCAATGATTTATAATGTTAATGTGTAGCAACTCTACCTTTATGCATTATAAATTATTAGAACATATGTGTACCAACGTCACCTTAGGTTCTATACAACATAAATTTATCAAACAAAGTTTTAATTTTTTTTATTATTATTAAATATTTTTTAATCAATTCAAATTTATTTATTCATTTCATTAAATGAAATTAATTTCATATTTTAAAATTTCTTAAATCATATTTCTAATTTTAATAAATTAAATAATAAATCATTTCTCTATTTTTATTATATTATATAATTTTTATAACATTGATATGTGATTTACATTGTCTTCGATTGTCCAAAAATTATAAGAGATTAACGTATATCTTACGCTATCTTTAATTCTCTTTTAACATTGTTCATAATCAAAATTCAAATTCAAATACTTGATTTATGAATAAAATATTTTTAATGATTTGCAATATAGTTGTATAATCTTTCTTCACTTTCTGTATTGTTTCTCGTAAGGTACATGTATAACCGCATTATCTTGTATTCTAAATATTATAATTTTACAAAATAATTTTAATTTTAAAATAAATTTTCTTTTACTAAACATAATTTTAATAAACTAATTTCATAATTTTTAGATAGAACTACTTGACTTTGAGTTCCCCATTGCACTGGGGATACATAGGAGCGGAAACCGGACCCATCAAGTTAAAATAATTTTTAAAATAAATTTTCTCTTTATCAAAATAACCCAAATAATATCTCAATAAATAATATTTCTTCTTTAAAAATAATAATTAATGTTTAGGGATTAAATAAATATTTTTTAGAATTTAAATAAATTTGCACAATTAATTTTAGGTAACCGTTTTAAACGGACGTTGTGGGGTGCTAATACCTTCCCCACACGTAAATGACTCCTGAACTCATTTTTAATTTCAAAGATCATATTATTCTAAAAAAATTTTCCAAGGTTTTCTTAAAATAAACTTTGGTGGCGACTCTTCTGATATTTTTGAAAACGTTTTTCGTCGTACCGTTGTGACCGTTCAGTTGCGACAGTGACATTCATTAGGGATGCTTTGCAACATGAACAAACTGTAATCCAAGTTAATGTAAGAAAAACTTATGTTAACTGTCTGTCATATGCTTATTATTTAACTTAATTAATTAAGCTTCAGTTTTATTGTTTTGTATTTAGTATTTTTCAGAGGTGCAGATGCCAACTTTTCTTGACCATAGAATTCATCAAGTGCAAAAGGAGTGGTGTGCATATCTATACCATAGATATTTAAAGGACACATTAAGCACAATAGATTTGTAGTGTTTTTTTTTTATAATACTTAGACAATTTTCTTTCAAGACATTAGGCAAAAAGTGTAAATATGAGATTATTTTCTATTCGTCAATGTAAACTCTTATTATAATATGTACATGTGAATTGTTATCAAGAGTATCAAGAGTATGGCACAAGAGGTACGTTACATGCAAATCTTAATTGATTCACTTTTGATCTATGCAATTTGACCTTGAACTCTTTGTCTACAAACTTCAATCTCCCTAAATTCGTATTGCTTTGGTGCTGATCTGTTTTTGCAATTTTTCCCGCCAAAAATCTTTCAAACTTCATTCCTAGATCTACTTTGATCCATAATGAATTTTGAAAATCTGATTGTAGATCCTTGATCTACATCAATTTCCTCACAAAACCATGTGCTCAAATTCAAGATCAGCCAACTTTCAATTTTTGGCTCCAAATTGGTTCATTCTTGATTTAAACTTCCGAAATAACAAAAATCTTGTGTTTTCACTTAATTTTCCTTGATCATTCTGTTTCTTAGTATCTTTTATAGCTTTTAATCGGTTCACTTTTTTGAAATTCAATTTTTAGTTTGTTGAATTTTGAAATTCTAGTTTCTAGTTCTTGGCTCCAAAATTCTACATAATTGTTCTTGTGTTTTTGGCTCTTTTCCTTGTAATTCTATTTGTTTAATTTATATTTTAGCATTTTGGACAGTTGTTTAGTGTTATTACATTGTGTAAATGTGAATTGTGGTGTGCTGGAATTTTCTAGAACAATAGATCCGTCCATTGCTTCTTGTCTTGGCTGAAACTCTATTGCATTATCCAACTTGATTTAATTTGTTTTTGTGCTTTAGGATGTTAGATTTGATGGTTTCTTAGAGTCTTAATTTTGTTCTAGAAAGTGTTATTGGCTCTATGTTTTGTTCCTTGTTTAGTTTTGTCTAAATCAAATCCATATGCAACAATAAATTAATTCAATTTTGGTATAATTCATTGTTAGGTGTTTTGGTACCTTACTGAAATTGGTGAATAGCTGGTTGAATTAGTACAAAAATATTAGTGCTATAATCGTGTGATTGTGAAAAGAAAAAGAAAAGAAAGATACAAGAATACTGAAAAGAGAAAGTATAAAAAGAAAATGAGAAAAGGAAGAGCAAAAGCATACAAAGAAGAAAGTTAAAATTGAGAACTTAATATTGTGTATTTCATGTATGTTTTTGCATGATAACATGTTCATAGTGATAGTTTGTGAATCATTAAATTGCAAGGCTGATTGTGTGCAAAATTTGATCAAGTGAGTTACATTCTAGAGTTCTAGAATTTCCTTGAGTGCTAACTTGTAAAGGTGCCTTAATTGTAGTTTGTCAGTATTAATTCTTGTTTGTCACACTCACACACTCCCTTTGAGTTTAGCATTCATTGTGAATAAATCTTTTCTTACGTGTCTTCATTTGGATCCTAAAGTTTTGTCTAGTAGCTGCCATTTTATACTATTTGAATTAGATTGTCTTAGCTTGAATTACATGGTAGCATATTGGACAATAAACTAGAAAATAGACCTTAAGCTTCTTAAGAGAATAGCCTTTTGAGAAATTAAGAGAGTCTTGAGAAGTATACACGTGAGGAGAGGAGCATACTCCAAACACTCACACTCATATTATATCTTGTAAATTTACTAACCTTTTGTGTATTTCTTGTGAGTACCATTCTCGGCCTTGGAGGAGAACACTATCAAAATTGAAGAATTGTACACAATTCGGGAGTAAAGCCTTGTAAATTCTTACAATTGGGGGCTGTTTTTAGGATTGTATACACTCATTATATTTGGAGTTTTCTTTACTTGATTTAGTGGGCTGGGATTTTTCTTTTAAGCAAGTAGAATTGGTGTAGTAAGATTTCAAAGCCTTGTATTTTGGACTTGAACTGTGGACTTTGGTTAATTAGTTTTAGGGTAATCGTGCTTAGGTTTAGTTTAACTCTAGCACATCGACTAATATATGCTAGATTAGACCTTTGTGTGTGGTTTAAAAGTTTTTCATATTTTTAGGATCATTTGCATCAACTTCGAGAATTAGACAAAAAATCCATTCTTTCTTGCATCGCATCTTAAGATCTTTCGGGAGGTAAACAAAGACTTCATTCATTTTCTCCTTCATTCTAATTTTCTTAGTTTTCTTTAAGTCTAGATCTGACTATCATTGGTAACACTTAAATTATTTTCTTATCTTTATTTGTTTTAAAATTTTGAGTTGGGGTCTAAGATAATCATTAGTATCCACTTTTAGTGTTGTGATTTCATAAAATAAAGTAAACAAAAATGGAAAGCGATAGAAGCAATAGAAGCTATAGAAGTGATAGGAGCCATAGGAATGAGGATGAGACTCCCCCTCCACCCTATGTGGCTAATTTGATAGTTAAAATGGAAGCTATGAGGAGAGAAATAGCAAATCTTCAAAATGAAAGAGATAGAGAAAAAGGAAGGAGAGAAAGAGATAGGGCTAGTGAGTGTAGTAATAATAGTAAGAGAAACCCTAGAAGGGATAAGCATGATAGAAGAAGAAGGGATGGTGATATAGATAGACATAAAAATAGAGTTAGAGATGAACGTAGGTATAGGGAAGAAGAATATAGAAATACTAGACATAAGAGGGATAGTAAGTTGAAAGAAGTAAAATTGGTGGTACCTCACTTCCATGGAAGAGATTATGTAGAGGACTATATAGAGTGGAAAATGAAGGTTAAACAACTCTTCATTTGTCACAACATTGAGGAAGAAAAAAAAGGTAAAAATAGTTATCCTTGGATTCCAAAATTATGCCCTATTTTGGTGGGCAAATCAAACTGATGATAGAAGGGCAATAGGAATGTCTCTCATTGAAGATTGGGAAGAATTTAAAGCCTTACTTAGGAAGAGGCATGTGCCCTCTTACTATGAAAGGGAACTCTTGAGTAAGCTCCAAAGGCTCACTTAATACACTAAGAGTGTTGAGGAATATAGGAAAGAAATGAAAATTTACCTTATGAGAGCCATCATAGCAAGATTTCTAGGTGGGTTGAATAAGGAAATAGGAGATGTTGTGGAATTACTAGGACTTAGATGATATAGTACAATAATCAATGAGGGTAGAACAACAATTCAAAAGAAAAGGATCTTACAAGAAATTTATTTCAATATACCCTAGTTTCTCTAAGTTGAGAGATGAAAAAGGCGAGGATAGTTATAAAGAGAAAAACAAATAAATAAAATTCACCTCAAATTTTAGGGAAAGGAATGAAAAGTTCCCTAAAACCCAAAGCTTTAAACCTAGCATAAGCGAGGGAAGTACCAAAACTTCATCAATTAAGTGTTTTAAGTGTCTAGATAAAGGACATATTGCTTCTCAATGCCTAACTATAGGCAATTATAAGGATGAAGTTATATGTGATGTGGTACCTATGGAGGCGAGCCATTTACTCTTAGGGAGGCCTTGGCAATTTGATAAAAATGTCACTCATAGTGGATCCTCCAACAAGATCTCTTTCATTCATAATTCAAAGAAAATCACATTGATTCCTCTAACATCTAAACAAGTAATGGAGGATCAATTGAAAATGAAAATTAAAAGAGATCAAGAAAAAGAGGCCATAGGCTTGTTCAAGGACTAAAAGCACGAGAAAAAGGAAAAAAGTAAAAAAAAAAAGTTTCAAGAAATGAGGGCAACTATGAGCTTGTCGTGAGTCTCAAGAAGAAGGGTTTTCTAGCTGAAGTTCAAGATGTTAGGAGGGTTTTGTATAGTGGTAACCCGATGTTCGTGGCTTATAATATGAGTCCTATGACTCTAACCACTACTCCTAGCACATTGGATAAGAGTGTTCAATTCCTCCTAGACAGCTTTGAGGAGTATTCCCTAAGGAGAGCTCTAGGTTTAGATATCTTATCATGGAGTTTCCTTCATGTGGTGAGAGCAATTAGGCTTATCCTAATTCCTATTAGGTGGTGCCATTCTACTTCATCCATTCCTTCCTTACTCCATTTGTTCTCTTATTTTATTTTGTCTCTAAAAATCCACACATATCCACCATCATATCTCTCAGTTTTTCTTGCATTCTTGGAGCAATGAAGATCAAGATTCATCAACACAGTTGTAACCTCTTGTAGATCCACATTCCATTCGGTTTTCCTTGGTTAAGAGCACCTTGGATTATAACACTTACATATGATAATTGTTTGTCATATGCTTATTATTTAACTTAATTAATTAAGCTTTATGTTTTATTGTTTTGTATTTAATTTTTTTAGATGTGCAGATGACAACTTTTTCTGACAACAGAATTCATCAAGTACAAAAGGAGTAGTGTGCATATCTGTACCATAGATATTTAAAGGACACATTAAGCACAATAGATTTGTAGTGTTCTTTTACAATACTTAGACAATTTTCTTTCAAGCCATTAGGCAAAAAGTATAAATATGAGATTATTTTCCTCTTGTCAATGTAAACTCTAACTGTAATTTGTACATGTGAATTGTAATTGAATAATGTAATGTGCAATTACTTTGAAATTCTGATATATCAGGCTCTGTTTGTAATTTATATTCTGATCGAACTAGTTCTAAATATTGTATGTTTTATCAAGTATGTTAAAAATTGAAATAATGACAGCTTTATGAAAATAATTAAAAAAAAAATCTTAACTTTAGAGAGCGGTTCACAAACAACCACTTTGCAAAGTTCACTTGTGAGGGCAGTTCACCAAATAACTGCTCTTAGAAGTACACTTAAGAGAGCGGTTATGAGTGAATCACTCTCAGAAGTAGACTTTGCAGAGCGGTTATAAAAGAACTGCTCTTATAAGTTTAAAATTAGAGAGCAGTTAGCTATGAACTGTTCTTTTTGGTCTAACTTCTAAGAGCGATTCACTTATAACTAATCTCCAAAGTGTTATATATAAAGAGCAGTTATACGGTTAACTGCTCTCTTTAGTGCACTTCTGAGAGCGGTTATGAGTGAACCGCTCTCAGAAGTAGACTTTGTAGAGCGGTTATAAAAAAACCGCTCTTATAAGTTTAAAATTAGAGAGCAGTTAGCTGTGAACTGTTCTTTTTAAGTCTAACTTCTGAGAACGATTCACTTATAACTAATATCCAAAGTGTTATATATAAAGACAGTTATGCGGTTAACTATTCTCTTTAGTGCACTTCTGAGAGCGGTTATGCGTGTAACTGCTCTCCAAAATATACATTTGAGAATAGTTAAATAACCGCTCTTTAAAATTCAAGACATTGCATAGTGCAAAATTTTATAAGACTTATAACTGCTCTCTATGTTCAACTAGAACCGCTTTAACATCTCATTTCTGCCGTAGTGTTAGAATAAATTAAAATATACCATGAGTTTTATTACATATTTAATATAAACATCATGTCAAATTTTGAATCTGTTTTACTAAAAACAACTATTATCAAAGATAATAAAAGTCGTAACATAATAATAGTACAAACGTAGATAAGCCTTTAATAATATTTATGTACTTACAATAATAATTCAATGTGTAACTATTATTTTTATACCTTTTCATTTAAAGAAAATAGTTTGCCCTTCTTTATTTTCTCAGCTTCACTTGTCTTGGCTTCCAATACATCGTATACATGTGAGTTTGAATACTATATCAGTCACTTTCATTAATATTAGGTAATATGATATATATATATATATATATATATATATATATATATATATTAAAACAACAGTATCGCATATTTCATATCGATACTTATTTTCATAATCTTAATTTTTTTTAATTTATAATTTTAAATATTTTTAAATTAATAACACATATTAATATTTCACGTAGTCTTAACATAGAAATAACAGTATCACCGCATATTATTATACAAGTAGAGAATATTCATTCTGCGCAAGCTACATTTTTTTACTAGAATAAATATGGGTTTGAAATATATATTATTTTTAAAAATAATATCATATATAAAAGTCTTTTACACTTAATGTCGTAGTAAAAAAAGTTTTAGACGATAAAATAATTTTTAATTAATTTTACTTTTAGAAATAATTTTTAAAAATATATTATTTAAATAAAAAAATGTGTTAGATGTATTTTTTAAGTATTCTTTTCGTGTTGTTGGAGGTTTAGCCAATGATTTGTAGGAAGAAATTTTCACATACTTCAAATCAAATTAATTTATGTCTGGACAAGACTGTTTAACCAAAATTGATTTTTAAATCAAACTTATAATTATTTATGTTTGCGGGTGATGTGTGTATAATATTAGATCTTGAACGTGCTTAAATATTTTGTTCATGCCATCTAATTATTGCCGAGAATATTGCGTCTTTTTTGGTATAGCCAAGCACAATGACCATGTAACAGTAAACAGAGAGTGGTATTAATGACATATATTTTTAAAATAGTTGATTAATTTTTAAATATTTTTAACATATGTTTAAAGGCACACAATAAAAACTTATTTGATTAATAATTATAAAATATAATATATTAATAATATTAAATAGTATACATTTTAAAAATGATTAATTCTTATTATTTTTTATTGTGTTTCTTCGGACACACAATTAAAAAAACTGTTTTTAAAAATAACTTATGAGATATATATTATTTTTATATTTAATAGAATATATCATGTTAAAAGTAAAAAAAAGAAAAAATATTTGAATAACACATTTGTGTTTAAAAAATCACAAACATTTTTAAACAACAACAGTCATTACACAACGATAATCTACACAAAAACCAAACTTTATTGAAATATTTTTCAAACACTGGAGTGAATTGTGACTTTGAGGGATCTTTCTATTCAAATGAGACCGACCTGTTTGCATACGGTATGGAACCCTTTTAAAACAAATAAGATTTCATGATTCATAGACTAAGATTGCGAAGATACAGTTCATTCTGGTTTGTATTTCATTAGCAGTGGTAAAATTAAAAAAAAAAAATACTATGTACATTTAATGAATAGTGAATAGATAAAAAAAAAAAAACATTTGTCTGATAACCAAAACAAAAATAAGCGACATAAATTTTAAATAATTATAATTTTTTAAATTTATTCTTTTAACAAGTTTATTATAAACTGGATCTAAATATTTGGCTAATTCAAATAGAGTCAGCTTAAATTATTATATGTTCAGACTTTAATATACTGAAAATAATTTATTACTTTTAGGTAATCTATCTATATCAATGTTGTGAATATCAAACAAAATCTAACAAGCAAATTTATTAAAAAACCAGACGCTTACCTGGTTATGATTCAATCTTAAAATTGTATTCAACGTTAGACCCTTCTGGTCCAGCCATGTGTTGTCAAAATTCAATTGGTTCACCCCGTTTGACTGATTAAATTAATTCGTTTAATTGGTTGAACCAATCATTGGGTTTTCTTTTTTAATTGTTATTTTTCACATTTCATAAATGTTTTTATATCATTTTTATGTAAACTATTTCTTCAGCGTTAGGTAGGACCAGATTGTTTGAAAGCCTTACCAATAACTCCACTGTACAGTTCAATAAATAGTAAAAATTGATTCACTAAGTAGTGTTTTAATATTAAAGTTATAAATTACCTTAAGATGTCACTCTTCCATAAAATGAATTAAATTTAAATATTAAATATTAAATTTTGAGTTAAAAATAGTATAAGTTATTTTTTTAATGTTAAAACATACAAATTAGCTAAAATAACAAAGATTTCTGTTAACAAGTCACCAATAATTATATAATTAAATTTGTAAATTATATCTCATAAACCTTAAAATTATTGAGTTATATATTTTTAAATTTAAATTATATTTTTATTTCTATTCTTAATTCACTTTAATAAGTTAGTCTCTATATATAAAAAATTATGTAAATTAATTTCTATGCATACATTAATTCTTAATTTAGTCTATATTATTATATTTAAATTAAAAGATGTTAGTTTCTACCGTTTTTTTTTTTTATATTCTTCTCCAACTTCCTTCGTATCATCGCCGTTGCCTCTATTGTATCATTCTTGCATCATCTAAAGAGATTTGGCAAACATGTGCCATCAACAAACTCAAAAGTAGGACGTTCATAGATTAGATTTTTAAAAAATCAATTTAAATTTATTTAAAATCTAATTATAAAGATTGAATTATAAATTAATCTATTTTAATTTTTTTTAAAACCAATTTAAATTTAATTTTTAAATTTAGATTTGGTTTAAAACTTATTTTAAATTTGATAAAAATATATTATAAATATTTTTTATATTATTATTATATTAAAAAATAATTAAATTTTATAATAACTAATATAATATTATATTTATGCACGCGCATATATATATATATATATATATATATATATATATATATATATATATGTATGTATTTGTTAATAAGGATAAAATATGTATATAAGGAGTACTCTAACTCATTATATTTCTAAAAAAATTAACAATACATATCAAGAGAATATTTACATATGTTTTGATTTATTAATATTTTTATATTTTATTAAACTAATAAATATTTAAATATATTTTACTTTATATTATCCATTCATCACACAAATTAATTATATGAATTGAATTTTAAACTATTTTATTTTATTTTTTAATTAGTTTAAAAGTAGTTTTGAAATTTGAATTTAGT